TGTTGGCTCAACTGGCCCACAAGCCACCAATTTAAGGTTCCTTGACCAAAAATATTTAAAGGAACAAAACTTTGATAAAATTGACAATGATTTTAGGGGTTTCAACAACGTATTAGTATTCTCTCTGTTGTTTAGAATAGATGAAAATCTTTTTTCCTCATGATTGATAAGTGTAAAAGATAATCATTTTGGATATAGGCTTACCTAAAGATAGGAACTATGACATATACTATTAATAGATAATGATTGTGTTTATCTTCCTACTACAATGTTTGCATCTAAGAATGTTTTTAGTCCTGACTGATGTTGCTATATTGATTCATCATGTGAACAAGGATGATATTTGGGATATGGAGCATGATTTTATAATGTTAAGGCACTGAGCAAGCCCTATACTTTTCCATCACGTAATTATCTCAACTGTACTATTTTTTAATGTGGCACATACTTTGAACATTATTAAAATGAACCTTTAACACAAAGGAAGTTGGGGACCTTGTTATAGCAAATGTATCTTTTCCTGAGGAATATTAACTTAAACCCTTTACATTGATGTCCAAGGAAAGAACACAGAAGCAGATTCCTAAATTGGTCTAGTCTCTTCACACTCACTCCAGGCAACGTGAAGTAGAGCAGTCAGAGGCTGATACAGACGTTGAAGTGGTCCAGAGACTTTTGCAGTATAATTATTGAAAAATATTTCTAATATAACAAGGCAGAATTATGATTAAAACAGCTAATTAAATAACAGAGACAAAATAATTTGGAGAAAACTGCTAATTTCATTTCCTGATGCCCAAGAGAGTGTCTGTTTACTTTTGTGAGGCAAAAAATAAGTAATCAAGTAGATATGACTTTTTAAAGACCAATCTTTATGACACATCTGAGATTGAGTTCACATGTTGGCAGATATCATACATAGTGAATCATACAAAATCAGTTTTGGTTGAGAATGTTGTGTATGTTGTTCTTACTTTTTTGGTATTTAGTAACCTACCTTTGAGATCTACATCAACTCCTGGATGCAGAGTTGTCATGAACCAGAACATCTTGTTACTTTTTCTAAGTAAATGTATTTTTTTTGTACAGTATTTAATATAGGTAACAGATTTACTGTTATTTCTGACAAAACTACCCCAAACATCACTTTTCACACAATACATTTCCTCTTCTAATATAAATTATGTGTTTTGGTAGAAAAATATCAAGGATAAACATGATAGGTAATATTTCTTTGAGAGGTAATTTCTAACATGAATATTTGTGAAGGTGAATTTTAAAGGTGAATTTCTGAACAAGAGAGTAAATTTGTTTCAGGATTCATAAAAATAAATGGAAATATTAAGATCTGGTTCAATTAAGATCTGAATAAATACATATATGAAATATGAGTATGTCAGTATCATATATTCAATTAATATTTAATATTCATTTATTTACGAATAGTTTAATATATTCTTAGTTAACTTCCAAATTTAAATTAGTTCTTAACCATAGAACATCCATAAGGGACTGATGAAAAAAAGCTTTAACCAGAAAAGTCTGTCTAGAGACTTAGCTGACGATATAAAGCTGTGAGAAGCTGACATTCTTCTGTGAGAAAACTGTGAGAAATAACTGATAATTCAGTTTCTCTGCCACAGTAGGTTCTTGCACATAATTATCCTTAGACCTCATCAGACCCAAGAGAAAGGCCTGACACACCGTAGGAAATTAGGCTCTGTGTGCTTAGTTAAGATCCCAGCACAGCATGGAAAGGCAAGCAGCTTGGCAAGCTGTGATTATATTAAGGGTTTTCTTTTCAAAAATGCTTTCCTACCATTAGGATCCTAAAAAGTAGTCACAAAATCATACACAATCTCACTTAGATTAGTGTACCTTTGCCTAGGATTCACATTGCCTTCTATCTTACCAAATATTCCCAAATTGTTAAGTCCTAGGAAGTCAGCAGATGTTAAAACATATTTTTGGTATTAACCAGAAGTAATATAAGGGAAAGCCTAGTGAGCAAGCACTGACCAAGTTCATCATTTCATAATCTCCAACGTACAGCCCAAGAGGATAAGTCTTAAAGAAGCATTAGCAAATCAGTGTTTCACCATCACCAACTATTATTGTGATAAATTTGTGACTTCGTTTGCAATCCATCTGTATTAGGGAAAATGCAGGATGCCAGGGGTCATAACCAATGATTGTGTAGTAAAACACATGAAAGATTCTGATTATAGAAAATATTACTTGTATTATTTTTTACTATCAAATGAAATAAGGCTCTACAGTGAAGTGAAAAGTGCAGAGACAACCATAGTAGCCTTATCAGAGTAAAAGTGACTGCTTTTATCATCTACTTTTAATTGATTTTCTAATGCAAATAATTATTACAGCTTATTTGTGTTCTTAATGGGAGATAACCCCCCACTAAGATGGTGAAATAACGTTTTGTCCTTTCATCTCACCTGTGAATTTTGCTATAGTGAATATAGGAATAAGACATGCTCTGTGTTCACTTTGTAGTCTATCAGAACTGAAAGTGGGTGGTAGAGTGTAAAGCAAACATAAGGCATGGCAACATAACAAATGCTTTCAGTAATGAAGACACCTACAAGGTAGGAGTGGAACACAGGAGTTCTTTCTAGAGAACATGAATAAACGCCTATTATCTAAGTATCACCTAGATGTTGCTACTGATACCAACCATAAGACAGTGCATCTTTATAGTTAATTATCAAACTATATAGATAACAGATGTAAGAAAAGGACTTCCTTCGTTCCTGCAATTTCATTAGTTTTGCCTTTTTTCATGAAAGAAAACATAACCAGGCCCCATGTATATCACAAATAGGTGCCTTTTGATAATGTATTAATCAAAAATAAAACTATCAGGCCAGGCAAAGTGGTTCCTGTAATCCTAGCACTTTGGGAGGCCAAGAGGGGAGGATTACATGAAGCCAGGAGTAATAGCCAGACTGCCTCTCTCCAAAAAAACAGAAAAATTAGGCCAGCAGCAGTGGCTTACACCTGTAATCCTTTTGTTAGGTTCTGTGTGCTTAGTTAAGGTCCCATGACAGCATGGAAAAGCAAGCAGCTTTGCAAGCTGTGATTACATTAAGGGTTTTTATTAATGAACACTGGGAGGCCCAGGCGGGTGGACTGCCTGAGCTCAGGAGTTCAAGACCAACCTGAGAAAGAGTGAGACCTATCTCTAAAAACAGCCAACCGTTGTGGCAGGTGCCTATAGTCCCAGCTACTTGGGAAGTTGAGGCAAGAAGGCAAGAGAATCACTTGAGACCAAAAGTCTGAGGCTGCTGTGAGTTCTGACCCCATGGCACTCTACCCAGGGTGACAGACTGTCTCAAAAAAAAAAAAAAAAAATTACCTGGGAATACTGGTACATGCATGTAGTACCAGCTACAGGGAGGTTGAGACAGGATTGGTTAAGCCCAAGAGTTTGAGGTTGCAGTGACCTATGATGGTGACACTGCACTGCAACCTGGGTGACAGAGCGATACCCTTTCTCAAAAAAAAAAAAAAAAGTAAACATATTAGATGTCAGCCTCATTAATATATTCTTTTCATTTAATCTGCATTAAATGAAGAAATTTTACTAGAACAAATACCATAACGTTTAATAGTTTTCAGTTACAGCCCTTTGGTGAAAATTTTAGGATAAAGCAATTAGAATTTCAGTTAAGCCAACTCTGAATTAGTATTAACTAGAACTATCACACATGTAAAGATATTACCCTCTCCAATATAGAGGAAGCATATAGGAAACTCAAGAAAGTTAACAGTAGGAACAACAAAGAGTAAAACAGGTAGTAGAAAACAACAGGATAGGCATGAAAATTTTGTAAAGAGAGTGAATTTCTCATTTGAAATGTAAAAATCTTGTAAAGGGATAACTCAAATTTTTGTTGTTGTTGTTGCAGTTTTTGGCCGGGGCCAAGTTTGAACCCGCTAACCTCTGATATATGGGGCCAGCGCCCTACTCCTTGAGCCACCGGTGCCGCCCAATAACTCAAATTTTAAGTCTTCAGTTCTCTTTTTTAAAATATTTTTTCCTTTTCCATAGTAAGAATGCCTGGCTATTTAGGAGATTATGTTTCTATTAATTACCATTTGGTTTATCATACAGATATTTGTGTCCATTATCCTGAAGGGTTAGGAATAAACTAGGTAGTCACTCTAAAGGTAATGTGATAAGCCATACATTTCGAAGTGATTTTTAAGTATGTCTCATGGGTATGTATACCAGGACTACATGGCTTACAAAAAGTAGAGGATAAATCAATTGAGCAGATTTCAAGCTATATGAATACCTCTACCTATGTAGGCTTCAATTATTCTGATAAGATGGCAAGTTATAGGAAAGTAAATTATAAAATAAGGAAGCTAAAAGGCATCTTAAATGTTTACATGAAGATTTTTAACTCCTGATTCTAGTTGACCATTGGGCACCATCTGTGTAGAGAAGCTAGTGACCAGGAAACTGACAACTTTACTTAATGAAACTTTCCACTATTTATGAAAAGCCCAAAGCTGTATATAACTCATCCAGATCCAATGGTACCTAGACACTGATCTCTGGGAAGTATATAAGAGAATTACTCAGATTAAGACTCAGAATTTAAGGATTACTGAGAAATAGAAAGGTGCTGAAAGATTACTGGGCCTCATCAGAGCAACACTAAGTAAACTGGTTAAGCCTAGAATTGTTTTACAAAATCATTATGCTCAGGGCCAGGCCAAAATATTGCTAGTCTCTGAGGAGTGGGATAAATGATGTAACATCAAACCAGGTGTATTCCTTACATTTTGAAGTAGCGAAGCTTTAGAAAAAAACAATTTTCTGATACCAAAAGTTTAAACTTACCCCATCGTAACATTTCAAAAGAATTCTAAAACATGATGCTTAACCTAATACAACATTCTTTACCCTCAAAATTGGATTTTGGATTTGAAATGGCTTACCAAAAAATATAACTTAGAATCTTGAGGTAAACTTTTTTTTTATTTTGCTATATAACCAAAAAATCTTAAATCTATCTTAGTGCATTACCATTTTAACAGGTCACCTTTTAGTCTGCATGTGCAGTTTTCACATAGTTTTACTGAACATTTTAAAAATGCAGTTAACATATTACAGACACTTTAATATTGCTGCATATTCTTTGTAATCTTAAATGGTGTAATATAATCATGTTCAGAGCTATTTTTGCCTATATACAATGAGTTAAAGTGAACAGACCCACTCTCTCCTCCCCCCACCCTCAATAAAAAATAAAAAAAGAAAACAAAGAAATAAGACAATGAGAAATAAGATTAAATTCTAGGAGGAGGGAAACTCTAACGATTCAAGTATGAGACACAGAATCACTTTTTTGCAACCATTCTTCATGCTACAGAATGAACTTTCTGAGACTAAAACCAAGTGTATTCTAAAACCTTTTAAGAAGCTCCAGTGGATTTCTGGATTTGCTCCTTTAAAATGAGGATACTCTGCCTTTGCTCAGGAGGCAGCATGGCAATCTGATCTGCAGTCAGCTGAAGAACCTGCATGATCAAAGCTGCCTTTTCTTGATCCTGTGGAGTTACCTGGCTTTGACCAGGACTAAAACTGCTAGGTTGGCCTCCACCTTGCTTACTTGCCCCTTGCATGCCCACTCCTTGTATGCCTGCCCCCTGCATTGCTCCTCCTTGTATGCCTGCTCCCTGCATTCCTCCCCCTTGCATGCCTGCCCCCTGTATGCCAGCTCCAGGATTCCCCACCCCTGAAATGCTTGGGACCTGTCTGGGTCCCTGAGGACCACCTGCTCCTATATTAATGGGACCAGGACCCTGAATTGCACCAGTCATAGGGCCTCTGGAACTGGGGCCAGGGCCCCTCATCTCCAATCCTCTTGCATCGATGCCTCTTGCTTCCATTCCTCTGGTTTCCATCGCACAAGTCTCCATTCCTCTTCTCTCCATTACTCGTGTCTCTAAGACTTCAGTTTCCATGGCTCGAGTCTCCATCCCTCGAGAGTCTCTACTGCCTCTACCATCCATAGGGAGCCCCCTTTGATCAATCATGGGTCCTCTGGGCTCTCCAATTAGCAGCCTGGGATCTGCTAATGGCCCTCCTCTCATCTCATGTGAGGAAGGGCCACGGTTGTCATGACCAGAGGCATGATGCAGAGGGGGACCCTGATGGGGTGGACCCAGATAACCTCTGGGCTCTACTTCTCCAGTGACTGAAAGCAGAGTCCCTCCACGTGGGTCATTTGGAGCATCTCCTAACAGTCCTCGAGGAGGCAGGCCACCAGCAGTCATGGGTCCACGAGGTATAGGAGCTCTAGGGTCTGCCATCTGTACTTGTCCCCGCTCTAAAGGCACTGGGCCAACCCCTGGCATTCCCACTTGGGGCTGCATTGCTCCTCCAGGAGTTAAAGAACCAGGACCAGGTCCAGGAACAGCAGCTGGTATTGGCCCTGGAGCTGGAATTCCACCCTGGATAGGAGTCTGCATCAGAGGAGGAATGTCCTTCACAGGTCTCCTAGCCAAATGCTGAGGCTGAGGGGCGGGAGGATTCTGCTGGTTCAGAAGAACATTAGGTCCTGGGCAGAGCCCAGGGCCAGGTCCTGGCCCAGAGACAGACTGAGATTTGCCTGGGATAAGTGGTGTGACATGAATCTTGCGATGCAGAATTTTCAGGGCAATCTCTGGATCCATGATCCTCATCACCACCTGTGCCTGCAACAGCGCATAAGCCAGCTGAGGGTTTTGAAGTAACATGTTTCGAGCTTCCTGGTGGCTATTTTGGACACAGAGCTTCATCTGCTTCATCAGCTCAAACATTTGCTCTGGAGGAAGGCTGGCGACTGCTCTGGTAATGGATTCAGGGGCATCTTCTGGATCGATAGGGTCCCCATAAGGCGAGTCAATGATGGGCGCTGCGGGCCCTAGACTCTTTAACTCTTCCTTATTCTTTTCACTGGCAGCATTGTCCACCCGAAGCGCTCTCCCGCTGAATTCCCGCCCATTGAGGTTCCGCATGGCACTGAGAGCGGTTTCCTGGTCTTGGTACTCGCAGAAGCCATAACCCTTGGGTTTCCCCGTCTCTCTATCGTAAACCAGCCGGAAACTGACAACAGAACCAACCTCTGAGAAAATGTCCTTTAACTGCTCCTCAGTCGCCTCATACGGAATGTTCCCCACGAACACGGAACGCAGTGATCGATCCATTGCCGGGTCTCTCACCGCCAAACTCGACATGATTCCGGTTGTGCGCTCAGCCCACAGCGGATTCTTCCAAGAGTCTGTCCTCTTGCGACCCACACTTCCGCTGAGCAACGGAAGCGGCTCTCAAATTCCGGGCAGAAACCTCACTGGTGCGCTGGAATCGTTCCGCTTGTCTGAGGAACCTGCATGCCACTAACCAACTTAGCTGATGTTTTCCACCTTCTATCCTTAGTGGTTCTGTCAGCTCCTTATTTCTGAAACGCATGATTCCTTTCCCACCTCATAATGTGCAGACTTTTCACGACACGTTTGTCGCGTGTTGACCATAGTAAAGATGGCCGCAGAGACTTCACCATGGTAACTAGGAGAGGACGCCTTGCTGACGTCCAGAGCGGTTGTGCTTCCGTTCCACCGGCGGGAAACCGCCAACCGAAAGCCGACTGGAGGAGGCGTATTTTTCGTTCTCGAAAAGCGTTTTCGTATAGCCGTTTATCTTTATTATAGTATATTTAATATTTAACATCACATTCCAGGCTATGAGTCAAAAGTGTAGTCATTTGAGAGCACATTTCAGATTTGTCCGTTAATATACAAAAGGAATGTCTCCTGTTAGCAAAACATTTTAGAAATTAACTGCCTGGGAATCCAAACAGCGGCGCGCGCCCGCGGCGGCCCCGCCCCCAGCCTGTTGCCAGGCAGACTCGTAACGGCCCGAGAAGCCGCCGATCCCAGGTTCTCTGCGCGCACCGCCAGCCGTTGTGCTGTGCTTGATAGTCCAGTTTTCTTTACTACTTGCTAATAAATACCATTTGATGGCTTCGGAGTATGGATTCATTAAATTCATTTAACCATTCTCATATTGTGAACATCTGGGTTTTGGTTCTGTTTTTTATTATGTGATACAAGGAATCCACCATCTCAAATATGAGGGGAAAACACATTGTGTTTTTTTTCTCTTCTGTTAGTTTTGCAGGCAAACATGTGAAACGTACTGAATGTGCCCCTCCCGCATTTGGACATAGAAGTGAAGCTTGGAGAAGGTTAGGTGGATTGTCCCCGGCCAAGCGGTCCCAAGGCAGAGCCCAGATTCTCACCCGCAGCTCCCGAGCAGGGTTACCGGGGGCAGGTGGCGGCCGCTGGCCACGTGCACTGAGCACCTGACATGTGGCCAGGGAGATTGGGGAATTGGATTTTAAACTTCACGTTTTGTTAATTTAAATACATTTTTATTCGACAGAGTCTCAGTATGTCACCCTCGCTAGAGAGCTGTCACAGCTCACAGCCACCTCCAACTCCTGGGCTTAGGCGATTCCCTTGCCTCAGCCTCCCCAGTAGCCCGGACCACAGGCACCCTCCCCACGCCCCACTATTTTTTGTTGCAGTTGTCGTTGTTGGTTAGCTGGCCCCAGCCGGGTTCGAACCCACCAACTTCTGTGTATGTGGCTGGCGCCATAACCACTGTGCCGCGGGAGCCCAGCCTGTTAATTTAAATATTAAACCAGGCCAGGCGCTGTGGCGCACACCTGGAACCCTAGCAGTCTGGGCGGCGGAGGCCGGGGGATTTGTTGAGCTCACAAGTTGGAGACCAGCCATCTGGTTTGAGAAGAGTGAGACGCCAAGTCTACTAAAAATCAAAACCTGAGGCGAGAGGATGGGGTAAGCGCAAGACTTAGAGGTCGCTGTGAGCCATGACACTCTACCAAGGGCAGACTCTGCCTCAAAAAATAAAATACATAAATATTGAAGCCGATGTTTGGCACTGGAAATTTTTTTAGTATTTTGAACAAATAGGGTATGAATCTACTTTTACAATGATAAATTTTATTAATTCTAAATAAAAATAAAATATTTCCACTTAAAATTTAACATTTTACTTAAGGTGCTATGCATGTAAAATATATGCAAGATTTTGCTTATTAAGTACAGAAAAAGTAAAAGCACATCAATTTTATACTGTTTACATGTTGAAATGATAATATTTTTGATATATGTACTGGAATTTTTTTCTTTTAGAGTCTCACTCTTTGCCCTGGATAGAGTGCTGTGGCTTCATAGCTCATAGCAATCTCAAACTCTTGGCTTAAGTGATTCTCTTGCCTCAGCTTCCCAAGTAGCTGGGACTTACAGGCACCTACCATAACATTCAGCTATTTTTTTTCTCACTCTGGCTCAGGCTAGTCTCGAACCTGTGAACTCAGGCAGTCCACCCGCCTTGGACTCCCAAAGTACTAGGATTACAGGCATGAGCCACTGCATCTGACCTCTGTATTGGATTAAATAACATGTATTTTGACGTTAATATCGCTCATTTCACTTTACATTTTTAAAGTGGCTATTAGAAAATTTAGAATTACATATGTAGAATATGTAATGTATTTATAGACTGCACAGTTCCAAAGCCTTTGCCTTAACTCCTAAAAAAGATAATTATTTCATTCTAAAATATGCCTTTGAGGGGGTTGTAAAACTTTGTTTCACAATTTAAAAATTCTATAGTGTATCTTAGGTATCCTAGTCCAATGAATAGATCTGAAATAAGTATAATGGTTAGCTACACATAAAATATATCCATTTACCTTGAAATGTTTTAATAGTCCTTTAAAACAGTCTTGCACATAGATAAGCCCAAGGCATATGACAGTTTATATCTGCAAGTGATATTTGTATCACCTAATAAAATCTTCTGGCGATGTCAAAGAAGAATGGACACCTACTAGTAATGTTGTCCCCCTTACCCCAGATTCTTTTATTGGGAGCAAGAGTGGAAAGAGTTGAGGATAGTACCATTTCAGAAAACAAAAAGCAACTTCATGGACAATTTAGACATTGAGTTTATGTGTAATTGTGTGTATTAAATGTAGTAATCACAAGGATAGTAATGAGCTATGAGAATAAATTATAAAATACATAGAACAACTTTTCCAACAGTTTCTTTTGTGCTACTCAGGAAAATATCTTAACCAGTGGTCCTCATTATTTAGCATATATCAGAATGACCTGGATCCACAGCGTGTTTAGTCAGGTTCTGATTTAGTAGGTCTGGAGAATTTTCATTTCTAACAAGTTCTCAGGTGATGCGGATGCTGCTGGTCTGGGTGCCTTTAGGAATCATTGGTCCTAGGAATTTTAAGGGTTTGTTTTCATCAAGACAAATGAAATTTAGTACACGCTGTTAAAAGTTGTGAGGGCAGATTTTTAAAACTCATTAATAACTTTTCATGCTGATCTAGTGAGTACATGCTGATTGCATAATAAAGATACCTGGACTCAAGGATCAGGTGAACAGAGAGCAGCTAAGGAACTCTGGAGGCAAAGTAGAAGGGATCAGGTACGACTGTTGAATGTGCTCCTCGTCAGGCTTTCCATGTCCTCGTTAGTACTAATATTTATTATTATGTTAACTGAATGGCCTAGACTCACCATGAGCTCCTAGGAACCTGTGTATGTTTTCTGGTCCCATTGTATATTTTTCATCATTCTAACTTGGAAGAATAACATTCATTTTATGCTGCCTTTTTATTATAATAAACTGCAAACTTTAGATATTTATAGTATGGCATAGGCTCTGAAGGAAAATGTGTATGATATCTTATATGTTGAGAGGTCTATTGTTTCAATAAGTCAACATGGCATTTATACTAAGACTGATTTTTAAATCCACGATGGCATTTTGGGCCAAATGAAAGCTGTCCTTTAGACCGTTTACCTCCAGAATTTATAAACTTAATCCATTGTTCAAAATGATTTTTACACTACCCTTAAATTGTTTGGGGGCCTCCATGGATGAATCAGTATCTTAACACAAAGGTATACCTTAACACAAATGCATACGTTGTTTTCAGAAAAGAGCATGATTATGCAACTAAACTTCCAACTTTCTGACCAGTTTTGGCAAAAATATGATACTTAGCTATTTCAAAATATCAAAACTTACATCAGAATGTAAGGATTTTGTAGACTTTAAGGAGATTCATTAAAACCTCACCATAGATTAAGTAGACAAATTCCAATAATAGGAACTAACTATGTTTTGAGTAATTGTAGGCATTTTTGAAACAAGTGTACGGGTCCTTCAAGGAACAACTCGAATGCACTCTTCCACAAAGTTTTCCCTCATCTTCCTCCCTCTTTCTCTAAGTCGGAAGGAATTTCATTTTTCTTCAGATATAAACTGTTTCTTATTTGTACCTTTCTGAATGATAGTAACTCTTTCACCTTTTAGTAAAATTATGATTTTTTGTCTAAACTATAAAATTGTATGATGTCCCCCTTCATTAATTAACTTAAACATATTATTTTGTTCCTAAGCGCAGTAGAGGAGGGAGTAACCACCTCCCTACATATGCTGGCCACTTTGTTACAGTCCCATGGGTGGTCCACTTATTTCTTCTGTATTTATTTTAAGCACCAGAAATACAGCAGTGTAAAAGGTAGGAGTTCTTTAAGTGTGGATATTAGCATCATATGAAATATCTTAGAAATACCAAACTTTGGGCCCTACTCCTAGGTCTATTGCTTCAGAAAGAGAGAAGTCTGTTTTAATAACCTTTTCAGGTAATTCTCATGCAGGCTAAAGTTTCAGAAACACTCCACCGCAGGAGACAATCACAACATGGATAGCGTCAACAGACAAGTAGACAGCTGTTCTGTCTTCCCTACTGTTTCTTCAGCAACTGGGATAGAGCTTAGCACAAGTGCATGCTCACTATGTATTTGTTGAATGAAAAATGGGAAGTGACCTTCCCCAAACCCTTCATTTTGCCCAGGAGGAAACCTGTGGCCTTACATAACATGCTCCAAGTCAGAGAAAAGACCTGCAGCCAGGACCCCTGCCATTTTACTCCTAGGCCACTCGTAGCTCTTCAGGTAACTTTTTGATAGAGCAGATACGTAATGAAGTATGTCGAGATGGAAGAGAGTGACAAGGTCATCATCAGGGAAGGCTTTCTGGGGGAGATGGGATTTAGGAGTGGGTTATAATAAACACAAGATGAAGAAAGTGAGCCAGGAGCTAGTTAGAGCAAGATAGGAACTTGGGGCCTGGTGTTTGTGATGCCCTCGGAGGAAACCAATAGAAAGTTGATGAGGAGTGTGATAAAAGTTTGGCTTCTGGGAGAGATTATCAAAGGTTTTAAAGACCCAGTTCATGAATGTGATCTTGCTATGAAAGTCAGTAGGCTTTTTTTCTTTTTTAAAAGAGGTTTTTCTGT